GCGAACCCAAGCAGCCTGCTCTGGGGCTCTGGGGAACCACCTCTCTGAATGAGACAGAGTCAGCCGCAAGCGATGTGTGTGAGCACAAGCGTGAGTGCGTGCGGGTCTGTGTACGTGCACGTGTGCTCACGAACAAAGGAACAGCACCTGCAGAGTCCTGGGGGCAGGAAAGAGGCTGGCACGTTCCATGGATGGAAAGGAGGCCAGGGGTGCTGGAACACAGTGATCCATAGGGAGAGTAACAGAGGTGAGGCTGGAGAGCAGGCCACAGTAAGGAGACTGCCTTGACAGCTCAGGCAGGGGTGTGCGGGGATGGGACAACACCTGAAAGAGGTCATTCTGCTATGCAAAGGGCCGACTGCAGGAGGAACACTTAAAGGCATTCCTGCTTCCTAGTTAGTCTATATGGGAACCACAGGCAAAAGAGTTCACTACCAGAAATTAAATATTTACTTCCTTTTAAAAACACCGCACAGAATTCAAAGGCAAAGGACATAAAAACTTATACTATTTTAATAATAAAAGATATTTTACAGTAAAAACTCTCTTGCAAGTTACTAACAAAAAAAGCAGATGTCCCTCTGGAGATACGGGCAAAGGACAGGAATAGAGAATTCACAGGAGAAATATTAATGGTTTGTAAATATATGACAAAGGTTCACTTGTCCATAAAACTGGATTAAGGTTTTTTAATTCCACTTTAATATTAAGAAGAGTGTGGGAAAAATATCTCTTGCATACTGCCAGTGGAATTTGTAAACTGGTTCAGATTTTTCACATAATACATGTTAAAAACCTCTTTCCTGAATTTATATTAAAGATCATTAAGAGCAGCCTCAAGAACAGGAGGATATGCGTTGCCATATATGTTGTATGGGGACAGATGGTCATGAGCACTGAGTAATGTATAAACTTGTCAAATCACTCTGTTGTACATCTGAGACAAATATAACACTGTATGTCAATTATGCTTCAATAATAAGAAAAATTATGCCTCCATGACCGTGACCACTGATATGGAGAGAAGTTTACAGTGTATCAGGAAAAGCAAGTTGAAGGGCGCCTGGATGGCTCAGTCAGTTGAGCTTCGGACTCTTGATTTTGGCTCAGGCCATGATCTCAGGGTCATTGGATCGAGCCCCACCTCAGGATCTGCACTCAGCGTGGAGTCTGCTTAGGATTCTCTCTCCCCCTCTGCCCCTTCCCCTGTTCTCTCTCTCTTTCTCTCTCAAATAAATAAATTTAAAAAAAAAGAAAAGAAAAGTTTCATTCTTATATTTAAAAATCTTATTTAGGCATATACATACAGTAAAGCCTCTGGAAGAACATTAACAGTGGGTATTTAATCATGGTAGGATTATGCGTGTTCAATACGTCTTTTTTGTCTACGTATCTTTAATTTTTCTACAGTCTATATACATTGCTTATGAGAGGTAAGCGAAGTAATCAAAGAAAGTATCTAGATCGGAACATAAAAAGGCTAAACCGTCTAGTAGACGGGGTCACAGACAGGAGACTCAGTGTAGGCTGAAGATGAATCAGGAAACGGTGTGGTAGAAAGGGACTTCTAGAAGCATCTATGAAATCTAAAACCTCATTTCACAGATTAAGAAATCAACTACCCTCTCCCTACTTCATGTACCCATTGCCTGACAATAAGCACAGCCCCCGACAAGGTTTCTAGAACCAAAAACTGAGAACCATTGCTTGCTTATCCACTCATTAAAACACCCAGCACCACGCGACAAGACTGCATAAATATGGTCACTGCAGTACTCAACTTCTGAGTGACATTATCTGGGTCCTGCCTCTTGGGCCGCAAAGGTCTTTGGCAGCCCTCTGGATTCCCTGGTCCATTTCACACCTGGGCTATTCTGAATAGCTCCTCTTTCTCAAATCAAAAACTGCAAACCCACTGCTCTTAGTCTCAACCATACCTTCTTCCTTCTCCTTTCAGGAGTTATATTCAGGTCCTAAGTCTGGAGCCCCCTCAAATATTCCTTTCTAAGTCAAAGCATCTGAGTCTACATCCTCCATCCCTTCCCTCCCTCCTCCCTCCTCCCTGCAAGGAGAAAGCCCCCTCCCTCCTCCTCTGCCTCCCCCGCCTCACTGGGTCCCTCGTCCTCCCCCCAACCCCAGGGGGCATCCCACTTGGCTCCTTCCTTTCCTAGCACATTCTAGAGCTGGGTATCGACACCTGTCCCTCCCTCAACTTTCCATTATGTCACAAAGCACCAAGAATGGGGGTTTATAGTCAGAAAGCCTGCCTACACCCAGCCCTACCACTGACCATCTCCACGAGCTTAAGTGAGCAAGTCACTTAACTCCTCCTCTACAGAGCAAGGTCAATAGTGGCTGCCCCAGCTCCTCACAGCTCTGCCGTGAGGCTCCAGCAGAGTAATGCCTGGGAAAGTGCTCTGTGAGCTCATAAAGCACTTTCACGTTCCACTTTTTCACACGCCCGTCATGACTGTCTCCTTATTACCAGTGACCTGTCAGTATCCACTGAGGCAGGATGGCTACGTGCCACCTTTAGGTTGCTCACAGTGTCAACACAAATGATACAATGATGTGAGCACTTTAGATATTACTGTGAATTACAAATTTGATAATCATCATATGTCACTGCAAACAAGTATAACCTTTTCTTTAATTGTAAGAGTACGGACCATTTTTTTAAGATTTTGTTTGTCAGAGAGAGAGAGAGCACAAGCAGGGGGAGCGGCAGGCAGAGGGAGAAGCAGACTCTCCGCTGAGCAGGGAGCCCGATGCGGGACTCGATCCCAGGACCCTGGGATCATGACCTGAGCCGAAGGCAGATGCTTAACCAACTGAGCCACCCAGGCGTCCGAGTATGGACATTTTTTCCTTAAAGATTATTTATTTTTAGAGAGAGAGAGCATGAGCAGGAGAGGCAGAGGGAGAGAGAATCTCAAACAGACCGCACGCTCATCACAGAGCCTGATGTGGACCTCCATCTCACAACACTGAGATCTCAACCTGAGCTGAAGTCAAGATTTGGACGCTTAACCAACTGCACCATCCAGGCACCCCTGAGCATGGACTTCTGGAAGACAGTACTGGGCAACAATTAACTGAGCACATACCAAGAGTCAGGCACTGTTCTCAAGTACCTTACATCAACTATCACCTAGCAGCATTGTAAGAGAGGTTTTAGTATTAATTCCATTTTAGTGATGGGAAAACTGAGGCCGAGTAGTACAGCCGTGATTTGAACGCAGGCATCTAGCTCTAGAGCCCATGCTCTTCTTACCCACTGTCCCGCAACTCCTTTGTGACAAAGGACTGAAGTGGAGAGAAAGAAACCAGGCAGGAGGCCACAGCTCTAGAGTATCAGAGGCAAGAATGTGGACCTGAACAAGGACACCTGGAATCTTTTAGCAAACAAACATATTCAAATTGCTAACTGCCAATGTTGCTGAGGGCTTAGGGTCACCAGGCACTTCCATATACCACTAGTTAGAATATAAACTGGTACCTGTTGAGAAGACCATCAGCAGAGTGAATCAAAAACAGGAATGGAACATTCCCGCATTCCCGCTGACTCAGCCAAGCCACTTAGAGCAGGATGTCCTGGGGAACTAATCATGGGTGTGCACAAAAGGAGACAGGGTAGGGAAGCCAGCACATCACCATGGAAGTGAACAGCACACACTTAAAATGATGCTACAGAAAAAGAGGAATAAGTATCTGCTTTTTTTTTTTCTCAGATTTTATTTATTTGAGAGAAACAGAGATAACGACAGAGATAGAAAGAGGGAGCATGGGGCGCCTG